CTGCTTGATTTAATAAAATAAAAATAAATACATATATACATATACAAAGAAAAATAATTTAAATACTAATTTGCATAAACAAATTCAAGTACATCACTTATATTCCTTAGAGCCTAAATTGTGTCACTTCGTATCCTCCATACTTTTCTAGACATTTCAGTTAACCTGAGGAATAACTATGAGCGTTCCTATACTTTAACATTTTGAAAAAACAAAAAATATTAGCACTTGTGTATAAATACTTGTTACAAAATAAATTCCTCTGCTTTGGTAAAGTCTCTCAGAGGACGAAACAAGTCTGAAAATTAATATTTAAATTAATTTAATTTAGGATTAATTTATGTGTAATATATTTTGAGGAACGTGATGTCATGGGTTTAACCGAATTCTTCTAATTTTATAACATTTTTGTAGCCATATATCTTGGATTGAGAAAGAAGCAACTCTTTCAGGAATTGCGATATTGGCAAAAAATCTACGGCGTAGATATATATTATGATAAGGTCTGATAGATCACCCTCGAAAATATTCCTTCTAAGAAAATTATTTTCTCTTAAGAAGTTTATCATTCCTTAGGAAAAAGTTGTGGCTGACATTATTATATGTATAACTAATGCACATGATAAACATTGTCTGGAAAATCCATTTTGTGTTCATATGTAAGTTTTTTTAAAGTTCTACAAGTTTTCACAATGTAGTATTAGGAAAGATACTTGCAATTTAGTATATATATATATATATATATATATATATATATATATATATATATATTCCTATTTCAGAATTATCATTGTGATGGGTATTTTATATTCTGAACATATCGATAATAGTTTTGGATGTGTATATAATTATTTTAATATTGTTTAGATTGGAACTTAGCCAAGGAAGAAATATAGATAACAAACATTTTCAAAAACGTCCAATATCCTTATTATTTCATTCACAATGTTAAGAGGTTGGCACACAGAATATACGACTGCAAAATAGATAACTACATTATTAACAACAATTAAATAGATGAAGAAAGATACAAAATACAACACAGTAACTCCCTAACATCCATATATCCAAACATTGGATTATTTCTGGTCATAGTTTAAAGACAGTTTCACGACAGGGTGAGACAATGGTTTAGGACCAGTCGGATGATATTTTTTATCAAACGCATAGGTAGAATGATGTAATTTGCACTATTTGAGTTGAGTTGAGTATCTGTTCTTACACGCACACATATATATGTGAAATATAGGTTTAATGTATGCTATATTTATGAGACAAAGTGCTCAATATCAGAAAAATACCATACATAAATAAAAGTGAACATTGAAGTCAACACTCAGAGACGACATTTTTCATGTGGCCTGACAATTTCGTCTATCATAGAACAGCCTATCGCCTTCTTAGTGTTGACTCAATATATATATATATATATATATATATATATATATATATATATATATATATATATATATATATATATATATAGTAGAGAGAAGGAACAGTAAGATATATAATACGGTGTTCTTATTAATATTTTTATTTTTATAAAACATACCCAGTTTTGAAGGCGGAATTTAGTGAGCTTCAGGGTTGGTTCTCAAAATTTGTCAAATATACATTTCTATATCCGTGGAATCTTTTTTCACTAAACGTATCTAATCTATCTATCTACATCTATCTATCTATCTATCTATCTATCTATACATAACACATATATATTAACGTATTTATTAATTTTAAAGTTCAGTGTTTATCGTTCGTGCTCAACAACCTACTCACTCAGTCCGATGAAATCCTAAACTCGAAATGCGTCACACGAGAACTTTTTTCTATTTTGTCATCTATCTATCTATCTATTCTATCATCTATCTATCTATCTATCTATCTATATATATATATATATATATATATATATATATATATATATATATATATATATATATATATATATATACACATATGTTGACAATATTGATGTAAATTGAAATTTGATTACATGTTTTGAATTACAATGTGGTCTATTATTAGTTCCATTTAATGGTCCCGTTTTATTTTTTAAAATTTGATTTAATTTTCACGCTGAGTATGTTGAATAAAATAATAATAAATTTAATTCCTCGCACGTCCTGAAGCAACTTGCATTTATTTTTTGTCGTTGAATTGTACATTTTAACTTTCAGCGTAATGATATGATGTTTTTGAGTATATGGGTCTGGTTTATGTGAGTGTATGGGTCTGTTTCATGCAAACTCTGCAATGGAGGGTAAACAAACTCTAATTGCTCAATCTGAAAATTTGTTGAATGCCGAATAATCAGAAATCGACGATGTTAGCCCAGTGGATATGTGTTCTCAATAGACAGAGGTTTGGGTGGATGCCCACTTGTTCATCCTGAATCCCGGTAGATTTCAAAGAAAAGATAAAAAAGGCCGCCGGGCCTTATGTGGACAGATCTACTCCTGAGGGATTTTGCCGATAGCTGACCGAGAACAAACACGAGCCGTCGCCATTTTTACAGCAAATGACGGACAGGACTCTTAATAGTGAAATTAAAAAGGGGAAAGACATGATTATAGGCTATAAACAATCCATGCATTTTTCTATCTTTTTTCACCACTGATTTTTTTCATTGTTAATTTGTAAATATATCGTACTTTCGTTTTTTTTTATTTCATTCTATTTGATTTCTCTTTTTATCCTTTCCTATATAGATTTTCCCTGATTTTCAATTCTCTTTTTTTTCATTTCCTTATTTCGTTCCGTTTCATTCCAGATTGTATTACTATTTTTTTTCTTTCCTTCTTTCATTTTTCATTTTATCACATACTTATCGCTTTCTGTTTCCTTCCACAATTTATAACTTCTGTTGTTTTTAGTTTTTCTTTCATAATTTCTTTCTTTTTCATTTCTTTTTTATCTGATTCTTCTTTCTTTTTCCTTTTACTTTTTATCTTTCTTACTTTCATTTTTTTCTCTTTCATATTTCTTTTTATAATTTTTCCTTTTATGCTTCTTTTCTTTTTTTTCGATTTTCGTTTTTTACATTTCTTTTCATTTTTTCTGTTCTTGTTTTTCATTTCACCCTTTATAGATTATATTTTTTCTTTTATCTTTCTTTCTCTCCTTTCCATGCTATTTTTTATCACTATCTTTTATTTCTCTTTTCTTATTTTTTCAGCATCTCATGTTTTTCTTTCTTTTGCTATTTTTTCGTTTCCTGCTTTCTTTCTTTGACATTCTCCAGTCTTTTTATTCCTTTCTTTAATTTCATTTTCAAATCTCTTTTCTATTTCTCATTTCATCGATATTATTTATTCTTTCTTAACTTTTTTCTTCAGATTATTTTTCTTTTTTTCTTTTGTTTCAGTTCCGTATCTGTGATTTTATCTTATAGTCCTCATATTCTTCATCTTTTTTATACAATGATTCAGTTATGTTTCCTTCTCATTTTAACATAGAACGAATTGTACTATATAACAGAGTCCTTTCTACCACATGCTTGGATCATCGGCGACTCAAATGGTTTCCTCACCAGGTTTTTTTCTAGTGAGGTGTATAGTTAGACACCAAGCAATATTCAAGCTTTAGACTGTGAAAGGGCGGATGAATATTATTGTAGGCTCTGTAACCATTTGAGTCAGACTAGGCTTCAGAGCTAGGCACATAATACATGCTCTGGCGACATGGCATTGTTTTTTGGAGGGCTTCATAAATGAAGTCAACGGCCCGGTGGAGAGGTTGGAATCAATGTTTAAGTGGTTGTGACCAAGGCGAGCATTCAAGTTGGAAGAGATCAACTTTGCTTTAAGATGGAGTGAGATGTACTCCGATATTTCAACATGCCGAATACACGCTTTGCATAAAAAACCCTCTCCGGCTTTCAACCAAAGGCATGTGGAAGTTAATGCTTTGCTGCTCAGCTTCACGTAAGCCATCCAACAGCACTCTGTCATCACGAAGACGATGTTGATGATGATGATATTGATAAAGATATTAATTTGCTTCCTTAATTCTGATGAATTAAGGAAGAACTTATAGATCTTGTAGAACTTGTATCAGTATAACATTATCTCCAAGATGTTTTTACAATCTCAAATTAATTTCTGGTTTTAAATAACTTGGAAAAGTTTGATAATCCGTAAAAATTAAATCAATAAATCAATCCTTCTTTCATTCTTTATTTAGTTATCTGTCTGGCTTTCTTTATTATTCTTTCTTTCTTTATTTCTTTCTTTATTTCTTTTATCGCTTCCTTTCTTTTCTATATATCTTTCTTTCTCTCTTTCTTTCTTCATTAATTCATTCTTTTCTACTGAAGCTACGATTTTCTCATTCTCATTCTTCAACTGATTTAATTTTTCGCTTTGAAAATGCATTTTATATATTTTTCTGCAATTCATGTATCATTATTTTTTTCATTTCATTATTCTTTGTAATTATCAATACATTATTGTCTCTTTCATTTCGTTCCCCCTTTCTTTATCCTCTACAACATACTGCCCACCGAACCTTTTGCTCACCACTTGGACCAATCTGAATTTGAATTTCTATTGTCCGTTTGCCTGAATTAATTACGTGCCCAACACAATAGTCTACTAATGACGTTTCTCTTCCATTTCCTCTTGATTGTATCACGGGATTTCACATTTAAATATCAGACAAGAGGCTCGCTACGAAATACCTGTTGACACATCATCGCTGAATCTCTCGCCTGCCAACCACCTGTACAGGCATTGAACGCTTCTGTCATTTAATATACATACATACAATTCACTAGTATGTTACACACACACACACACACACACACACACACACACACACACACACACACATATATATATATATATATATATATATATATATATATATATATATATATATATATATATATATATATATATATATATATATAGATAGATAGATAGATGTGTGAGTATATATTTTGTTATATGTGTGATCATTCGAGTATTTTCAAACTACGTATGTGTGCGAATGAGGGACTATAGAAAAGTAGGCATTTGCAAGTCTCCTGCTGTTTGATAAGTGTATTTATATACATCCAAAGAGAAGAAAGAAAAAATGATTCTACATAAGTAATTCGCAGAAAAATACATGACAATGATAGATAGATAGATAGATAGATAGATAGATAGATAGATAGATAGATTTGTACTTTAATATCGACAGAAATGCATTTATTTCTTATTGCCAATTTTCCTTGCATGTTTTCCTCCAGGAATTGATACTGTAACAGAAATTCAGATAGATAGATAGATAGATAGATAGATACATTTGAACTTTAATATCGATAGAAATGCATTGATTTCTTACTGCCAATTTTTCCTGCATGTTTTTCTCCACGAATAGATAGTGTAACAGAAATTCAAATAGATAGATAGATAGACAGACAGACAGACTGACAGACAGATAGACAGATAGATAGATTTGAGCTTTCATCTCGACAGAAATACATTGATTTCTTATTGCCAATTTTTCCTGTATGTTTTCCCCACGAATAGATAGATAATGTAACAGACATTCAAACAGATAGATAGATAGATAGATAGATAGATAGAGAGATAGATAGATAGATAGATAGATAGATAGATAGATAGATAGATAGATAGAGATTAATAACTGGCAAGGTGGATGATATATTTCCTTACTTTTTATCTGTAATTTAGCGATATCTTGGAGGGATTAATTTATTGAGGCTATAGGCCATTAGACATCTAGGTTGACTGACTGAATGATTCCTAAACCGAATCTCTACTAATATATGCACCGAAATATTAACGCTAAAATGAAAATATTGTCAATAAAATTTGTTTTGAATATTCATGCTAGATACTGAGATATATAACCTATTTTTTCTATAAACAATACCGAATCATTCAAACATCTGTACTCTGTGTGTGTTATTGTATTTTTTTGACAATAATAATAATAATAATAATAATAATAATAATAATAGATAAATAAGAAATAAGGTAAATATATGGATAGATTTAGATATTTGTACGAAGATTTATTTAGTAAAATAATTTCTATTTTTTTCTAATCGCATTTTCATATTTGAGGCACTTTTATGAATTCATTTTCCAAATGTTGGTCTCATACTGGAAGATTAAACATTGGTGGTTTTTGCTTTATTTCAGAAAATAGATTTTCTTTCCATGAAGATAATCTTCTGGGTAAGGTAATAAGTGGTAATCCGCAGGTACAAACTCAGGTGATACACCATCATCCAGCAGAGCTAATTTCTGCCGTCATGTCTGTTTTTTTTTCTTGATGAAACACGTCATTGGAAAATTCCGTGTGCTTTTATTGATTATTGCCGTCAATCGTTCAAATTGGGAATCGTAATCGTCTAAAATTCAATGTCTGATTTCCAAAAATGAGATAACCATACACGATGATTTTCCACTAGATGCAAAACATGACCGCCCGCAAAAAAGTTTGGAGTTAATGGAGTTTTTCCCCCCTAAAAATGCTCCGTGCAAATTGTTATGAACCAACCATTCTACATAGCCTGATATTGTTCTTTTATTCTTTAAATTTGAAAAGCCAAGTAGAGAATCACGCCAACATCATATTGCTTAAGTATTCAGGGAGTTTCAAATGTCTTCCAAACCACATATGAAATATGCTGATTATCTCAGCGATATTCCGTGTCATTGGACTTTATTTTACCTAATGCTTTTCTGTAGATCCTTATTTCTTTTAAGTAAAGTTCTCAACAGAACATAGTGTGACTAGACGTTTACCGACAAAACTATCAATCATTTACGTTATATGAATGATTCGACGCTGATTAACGAAGACAAGCAGTGGCAATAAAAATAAATCAGTGATCACATTAAAATAGAGTTTAGGTTTGATGAATATGCGAGAAAGAAAAAAAAACATTGACATGGCGAAAGATCTTACGTAAAGAAATAAAATGAAACAATAATTAAAGAACTTGAACCATAATTATGCTGCAAGTATTTGTGGGTATATGATGGGAACAAACGTTTGTCAGTAAAAATTCAGGAGAAATGATTCTGCTAAGGCTTATCTTAAAAAGTTTAGTAAATGCATGCAATAGAATATAAGCAACCAATAGATTTTCTATATTTGTTGTGAATATTTAAATGTATGAATTGGCCATTAAAAATGACCCGAAAGGTTGATGTTATGTGCGAAAAATATTGACATCAAACTAAAGGCGTCATCTAAAAGTAGGTATAAACAGATTAGATCTTCCAGGAGTTTATATTCCTCTAACAACGAGGTGTTCGTAAAAATTTCCTTGAAGCTACAGACTGTTGCTCTTTCTAAGTACTTTCAATGCCACCAGAACTGGGTGCTAAAACTAATACTGAAATAAGAAATTGCCAAATTTACATTACTCTGTTTCGGAGATGTTTATGTGAAATTTATCTAAGCGATATAAATTCTCAAAAGGTAAATGGACAGACTACGGAATAAGCAAAACCATGACATGAAAAGCCTACGAAAAATCTAGACCGTTTGGAAAAAAAAAACAAAAAAACTTCCTTGAAAATACCCGCATCGGATACCATGGAAGTTGATATAACTACGACGCTTTCTTGTGTTTCCAAAGCTGTTCTGGAATCTGATACTGAAAGGTTTATTGCTGCAGCACAGATTCAACATCTAAGAGATCAGAACCATAAGGATAACATTCTCAAGGAATTCAGCGCACTATGCAGACTTTCTGTCTTACTTTTAGGAACTCTGACCACAATGGTTCATGCTATACGCTCTCAGACTTAGCAAAAAAATTACACACCATAACAGATTATGGTAATATATTTACTGGGCAATATGTGGCAAGCACAATCTACCACAGGAAAATTGATTTGAAAACAAATAAAATTCTGTGATAACTAAAGAAATTGTATCCGTACTGTGGCATATTTCAGTCCAAACAGACAGAGCACTACTATCTAATAAGCCAGATACTTGTTCGAAATATTTCATCGAAATATTTGATCGGAATACATGATTGAATAAGTACTTGCTTATTGAGGTAAACATCCCCATTGATGCAAATATTTCAGACAAATCTTTTATTAAACATCGATGTAATTTGGAGGCAGTTCATAAAACATAATTAGAATCAGAATACGATAATAATATATCATGATAATACACAATGAATGGCTCTTATGGCTTCTTATCTTATTTAATAAGAGGAGTTAATATATACATGATTTGTCTTGAGGAATTATGACTGGATATATTAAATAGTCCATCCAATGTCAGAGATGTGCTTTTCAGGCATGCAGGTAAACTTAAGTTAGAAGTATGTGACAGACAAGGGAACATACTTTACCAGAGAGCACCTGAGCAGAATGGGTTACTCGACATGAAGGGATTTATAAGTGGGGCTCATCTGCATTGTCATCGGTTGCTTTCATGAAAATCTTTTACATCTCTTACATTCCGCTGTTATGTCTCTATTATGTCTCTATCTAGACAAGGTTTCCTGATTTGCATATTTGGCTACATATTTTGAACGCAAGCGTCAATATGTTGTCCTTCTGATCTCTCATTCAACGCCAAAAAAGAGGACGACAATAAAAAAAAACACAGGTACAATAATGATAACGATAATAAGCTCAGGTGCGTCAAGAAAGTCTTCAGTTGTTCAATAATTCTAAGTCAGCTTTTATATCTATAAATTACTCAAACCGAAAAATGACTTTACCCGACCTTCGATTGAAGATTTGATGATATAGCGGCTTATATTGATCTGGGCAAGTTTGCGAATACACAAATCAATTATGTATGAGTCGATATTGACTAAAAAACTCTTTGTACATTCTAATGCAATTTACCCAACGGTAAAGTAAGCGGCAAGTTTCATCATCGAACTATGAATTAAGTAGAATGGATTTAATTATGATTTGATTCTTTTTCCTTTATTTTTACTTCCAAGATTGTTGGAGAGAGTAACATTAGCAAAAATAAAACGCTGGAATAAAATAAACAGCAACTGAACGAACAACAATAATGAAAAAAAAAAGATAACACTGGCATCAAAATTAATTTTTTTAAAAGGAAATAATTTTTCACGGGTTGGAGGTTGTGGAGTTATCTTTCCTTGGGTCTCATCTATAAAGAAGTATTTCATTGATAATATTGAATTTTCTTTTTATTCTATCTGTTTATATATGTATATTTTTAAAACTAATTTCTTTAAAATGGTAGTTTTTTTTTTCTTTGCGTATCACTGATTATCTCTGATTTATTTATTTTATTCAACAGTAATTTTCTATTTTATTTTGTCACCTATCACCTTCTCTTTGCACTTGGCGGTCGCTTACTGCATTTATTGCTATTAGAGAATCCGTGGTGAGGTTGTTACTTAAAGTAACACCGTTCGTAACGGAATGTTTTAAATCTGATTATGTTAAGCTCTTTTTCTCTTTTTGATCTCTTCATAATCTCCCTCGTGGATCTTATTTCTTAAAAATGTTCTTTTAAAGCATACGTCTAACTACGGATATGCATTACATTATACACTTAAACAGAGCCTAATTTTGAAGATTGCGAGAAACACCATTGCTACAGGGAAGACTCTCAGTTTTCTTCAATATTGATGAATGGTTGTTGTATCAATGATATTCTTTGATTAGAACGTCTATTGGAACTGAAGATCACTCCGGGTCTCTATCGTCTTGAGTATGAAGATAAACTACACCCGGTAGGAAGGCCTATGATCGCAATTGTTGTTTTCAAAGGTTCACCATTTATCGGGGTGGTAGTATCTGTTAGGGTCCCAGCTAAGGACACAACGTTAAACCCCAAAGTTCGATCAAAATATGTATAAAATCGATTTTTATAGCTAAAATATCAGCGATACATCCTTGAAAAAATATTACCACCAATATATTTGACTCGCAACAAAAACAAAAAAAAAATGAAACCTGATCTACAAACTGATTTCTTACAATGAATACATATTATGTTCAAAGGAAACTATCCTAAAAAAAAATTCGGCATTAAATAATCCAATGTGATTGATATGCCAAAAAGCAAAATAAATTAAACCTTATTTACAAAACTGATTTCTTACAAAGAATACATATTATGTTCATAGGAAACTCTCCTAAAAAATCTTTTCGGCATTAAATAATCAATTGAGTTTGATACGCTGTAAAACTCAATAAACAAAATCAGACAACAGCGGATCTCGTGTAGAATTTGTATATACGAGGTATCTCTATAGACGCTGGAGAAATGGTTGGTTTCTCTGTACAACTACTGAAAATACTTAATACTTGCTCTAAATTTAAAAGAAAAAGCAGGAGTAGACTAAAAAAGGGAATCTGTCTGTCCCATCTGGCGGGGAGCTGCCCAGTGCTCACTACTTTTCAGACAAGAGGGAGTTCAAATGTGTTTGTGCGAACTTGTAAAGGATAAAATCTCTTCTATTCAGAAACCCATTTCACACAGATGAAATGTTACTAGCCTCTCGTTATTATGTGGCTATGGCAGATATTCAGGCAAAATAAATTCTTTTGACACACCAGACTAAAAATCCATGTCAAGGAAGCATCATGACCCGTATAGTTAGTCGAAACACTCTCCTTCCCTTCATATTCAAGTGGAGAAGAGCATTTACAATCAGGTAGTTTCTTGACCATAATTTATACATTTTGGAACAAACTCCACAGGAAATGCTTCCAGAATCGCTACAATCGTAAAGACTTCGAGTTTCGAACATTATTTATCTTCCAGATAATAATATCCATTTCTTGCTCTCACCTTGTATGCAATTACAACAACTGTATTTAGTATATCACTCACTCGAGTGGCTCTTTATATCTGGTGAACTATAGTACAATAAAATTATTAATGTAAGCTGGATACTTAATTTAATTACTTCATATCTTACAAAAACACACATTTGTGTACGAAATGGAAAGATGGATCGATTAATTGGAACTTAGCTCTATTTTAATATGGATCAAGCTGCATTATGCACTTTCACATTGACATTTATTTTATTCATATAAGTCTACAACCGATTTCTTTTTCTTTTTTATATACCGCGTACTTTCTGAATATAATCGCCAAAGTCTGACTACTATTTGCAGCTCTAAGCAATGTTAGCCCACTTACTATAAATCCCACTACCTGTTGTAATAGATAGTTGCTCGGATTGAGGAATCGGAGAGCCGAGTTCGATTTCCAGTTAAATCCATTACATTCACTTACGTGCTGATACTGTTGGGAAAGGTATGTAACCTCTTCTTCTCAAATCAGCTATTGATAAATAGCAGGACAGACTGGTTTCCATAGACCTGGATGGAAACTGGTTACTGTGGAAAGAAATGGCAACCTACTGCGGGAAACAATCTGCCTCGTTAGTCATGTATCTAAAGATATATGATCGCCTAAGCGTGTACCACGCATGGCACATAACTGTCTGACTTATTAGTTAGTTTATTCGTAGTTTCCTTCTGAACACCTTACCTTAAATACGGCGGTTGACAGAAATGTTCATAGGCTGACTATGGAGTGAGGCTGAAGATGGGAATTCTTACATACATTAATTTCAAAAGGCTTCATAAATAACCATTAGCGACTTATCTTGAAACTGGATAACACTTAACATCATGATGCTATCAAATCCCTAAAGCAAAAGGTTTAGCTCCCAAGGACATATACGCTGATATTAGGGGATGAGGCTACAGCTTTGCTAACAATGCAAATGTAGATTGCTGAATTTAAGAAGGGAAAGGAGAGTTTTGGAAAACATTGATATTGGAAAGAAGAATGTATAGTGTACGCCATAATGTGATGGATGATAGGCTCTTCACCATAAATCAAAGAGTCAATTCTTTCAGCATATCCCGTGAGAGAGTTGAGAATATTCCCACAATGAACAT